AAGTGAATATGTTTTTAAAATGTTTTGATACTAAACCTGATAATAATAACAGTAGCTGTAATCCTGTCCGGATTGTCTTTATTGTGATATAGAGAAAGCTGACTTTTTTGCTTTGAAGTGTGTCAATGCTTAATTTAGAATAATTCTGGAGCTTGTAGTTTTAATGTATCTTTTGTGTAAAGTCCCTTGATAATTTTACAAAATATATCTTCATAGACATAACATATACAGAATAAAAAAATATGTATTTTAATATCTTTGCTAAAACATATTATCCAAAAGAATTAGTTTTAAAGTAGAAAAAAGGCTACACAATAACCCAGCTGTTAAATGTTGCCTTACCATTGCTTTGATACTCCCAATATACAGTTTTTAATAAGTCACTATCTAAATACCTAAATAGTATAAGTTTTACAAGGTGGTCATGTGACCACAAAGGTCCGGCTATTTTTCTATTTGTCCTGCAGGGGGCTGGCAATGCTGCTGAATTGTTGGCTCTCTTATCCACATCTTCTAATTCCATACAGTAGTGATGTCGTGTCATCGGCATTCATAGCTCTAAAGGCATTGTTGGCCAAGAAAGAGTTCATATGCACCTGCTGCAGGAAAAGGGGATTAAACCTGGAGCTTTGCAGTCACCTGCTTTGCCCACTACTTGGGGCTGGTTTAGAACCTGATGAAGGGCAGTTCAAAACATAAATTCAGTGATAGTGAATGTTTATCTGACAGTGCCAAAAGAACAAACTGTTCTAATTTGATAGAAAACTGTACTCAACCCTAAACATCAGGCACCTAAAGAAATGTTATATTAAAAGGCAGTTTCTTCTCTTCCATGTTGTGTAAATAAAATGCAACAAATTAAGCAGAAAGTTATAAGCAGAAGGTTATTCTTCACCTTAAAGTTATACCCCGCGGAAAAATTATATGACCAGATGTTTGTGAAAACCTGGCCTACTATATGGTCAAAAGTATGTGGACACCCTTCCAAATTATTGAGTTTAGGACATTTTAGGAAAGTATGTACTTCCAAGAATGAAGCAACAGTTTTGGGTGGCCCTTTTTCTGTTCCACATGACTGAACCTGTGCATAAAGCTAGATCCAAGATGACCACGTTTGAGAAGTTTAGTATGTAGGAACATAAATGGCCTGCACCTAGCCTTGACCTCAACCCTATTGAACGCCTTTAGAATGAACCGGAGCACTGTTTGCGAGCCAGGTCCACTCATCTAGACATTCCCACAGATATAATCCAAAAATATTGTGGAAAACCTTCCAGTGGAGGATGTTAAAGCTACAAGGAAGGGGTAACTCCATATTAATGATCATGGTTTTGGAGTGGGATGTCCGACTTACTCATATAGAGGTGAAGGTCAGGTGTTCCAAAAATGTGGCCATATACTGTATTATGCAATCTCTTAAACATTTCAAGTAGGCCTTGGGATGTGGAGAACTGGTTCAGAAACTGGTCAACGCCTTAAGACCACAAGTCTCACTGTCTCTTGCAAAGTAGCCATGTTGTAAGAAAGATAGGATTTTGTTGTAAAAGTTGTTGAATGCTTACTTTGTATCAATTATTGCCCCTGCTATTCTTGTTGTACCTAAGATGGATGGACTTCTGTTGCATAGTAAGTATATGTGTCTTCCTTCAATCCTTGGCTACCTAGGAGGGAGCACTGTCTGTCACTTCTGAGGGCTGTGACTGGGCAGACCCAGAAGGCAATTACCTTATTTTTAGTACCTTATTTTGCTTGCAAAATTTGCCACCCAATATTCTCTATAATGGTAGGGGTGGTTGCATGGAATGCACTCTTGTGGATCAAGTGCAATAATTAGAGCTGCAACCAACTAATTGATTGATCGATAATAATCGATAATAATAGTTGTCAACTATTCTCATTATCGATTAGTTGGTTGGATCCCGTAGCTCTCCTCCATTCTGAGAGGAGGGCACAGCAAGCATTGGGCAGGTGCAAAAGCCAGCCTGCTATTGGCTATTGCACCAACCCACTACCGGTTTATTTAATGTATTTACATTCAGATGCCATCTGCGGAATCTTGCCACTAGCAGCTGTCATTCTCTGGCTGAAGCTATTCAAGCGCCATGTCCTTACAATGCAATTATTAAAAAAAGATTATAAAAGGTGGGTAACATTTTTTACCGGCTGTATTTACATTCATATGCCATCTGCGGAATCTTGCCACCGGCAGCTGTCATTCTCTGACTGAAGCTATTCAAGCGCCATGTCCTTACAATACAGTTATTAAAAAAAGATTATAAAAGGTGGGAAAACATTTTTTTCCGGTTTCGACCTGACAAAATCTGCTGCAGGAGGTGCATGACAGTGCCATTCATTTCAATGGAACCCTAAACACACCTCCCACCCACAGAGTGATCGCCCGCACTGGAACACAGGGTACCGCAATGCTGTGCATTCCAGTGCAGTGCAATTGCAAAAAAATGTGCATGCAGTGTTATTCTGAAGTAAACTTCATGTTTGTAACACTGCATTTGTGTATTTTATGTTAAATTAAGGATAGTGTTTATTTCATTTTTTAATCTGATTAATCGAGTAATCTCAAAAATAATCGGCCAACTAATAGATTATGAAAATAATCATTAGTTGCAGGCCTAAAATACATATTGACGGAAGTAGAGATCACATTCTGACTTTTACATAGGTGCAGGTGAGTTTCCTGGATAAAATTACATTAGCACTACACTGATTTTACTGCCTGGCCAGAATATCATGTTGACTTATATATAGAGCTCTTAACAGCTTCACTAATGGAAAACTTTATGGGTATTTGTTAAGAGTCACATTAGTTGCTGACATTTTTGATATTCTTTTGATAAATGCTGGTCAAATTGCTTTAACACTTCCTGTCACCTACCTGGAACAGACATACCGATCAGGAGTTCTTGCTTCAAAGACTGCATGCTTGTTCCAGGTTAGTGACGAGAAAGCCAGGCAAGAAGCATTTACTAAAGGAGGTCAGTAGTTGCCAGCCACAACTGCACATTCTCACGACAGGTTGATTGGTAGAAAGAAATGCTTGACTTGCCATTTATATTGCAGCCAGCAGAGGTCAGACATTCTCTGTATCTTGTGCAAAAATGTTAATCGTTGTGTACATCCCATTATTTTGTGTGTCCTCTAGGGGGACCCAGGAGACGCTATCTCTGTGTCACAGCCAGGGCAGAAAGGCGATGCTGGACTACCGGGTCTTCCAGGTTTACCAGTAAGTTTTATACAGCCTTTTGGGCAGATGAGTCATATATTTTACATGTTTATTATTTTTTTTTAATTAATATACTATTATGTTAAAAAAAAAAATAGATTTCAGATGTTAGTATCTCCGGGCATGTACAAAATGAACCCCTAACCCTTGTAGTGGGGCTACCCCTGCACTGCAAGGGTTAGGGGCTTGTTTTAGTCTAGGGTCTAAAATAAAAAAAAATATACTCACATGATCCTTGGCCCCTCCTGGCTGCTAGACCGGTCCCCCGAGCCTCTGCTTACTTGCAATCCCGACTACAATTCTATAGTCGGGATTGAGGGGGAAAGAGGTGAGCGGTCACCGCCACGGGAACTCCCTAGACCAAAATGAACACTTAACCCTTGCAATGCAGGGGTAGCCCCACTGCAAGGGTCAATTTCGTACATGCTCAGATTTCTTTAAGCATGTAGTCCACAAGTTAATAGAAAGGTATTTATGCATTGTGATAGAAATTTTTTTTCTCCCTCAATGTTTTCTTCAATATGAATATTAACCACTATGTTACAAAATAATGTATGTATCTGGGATATGACAACAGTTTATATGTAGTGCTTGGGTGTGCATGTGAGAGTGTGGCTTGTCCTTTGATCTGCTTGCATCTCCAGCAGAACGCAAAAAAGAAAAAAAGAATATTTTTTTGTAGACAATACCCCAGAAGAATGCATTGTTTTCCCCAAAAAGGTTTATATATTACATGTAGTAACAACGTTATTCCCACCTCGGTAGGCCCATAGCTGAATGGTAAAGCATGTTATGTGTCATAAGGTTTCTACAAGTTCAGGAGCTGTAGTAGTTTGTTATAGCAATGCAGTACACAATTCTCCCTGGGGCAGCCATGTTGTATAACTGTCTGCAGTGTACAGGCATTTAGTAGTGTATAAATCATCATGCAGTTTCTATGCAGCTGGTCCTCTGCATCGAAACCACTGCTTTCACATAAAGAGGGGTCCCAATTTACAGCTTTAGGCAGATGACCAGCTTCCTGTTTCATGATGTGGCTGCTTTAGAAAGAAAATGAACTGTGAGACATTGAACACCTTTTGTTTTAATGCACCTAGAAGGTATTTAGCTGATTTCAATTGAATGTTCAGTTGGGCTTTAATCTATTAATAGGCTAAAGTCATAGGGGCTCATAAATGAGCTAATGTTGTATGTATTTTGTTTATGAAATTGTTTATATACATTTCTGTATATAAATATCATGTCTTCTACATAAACATCAGAACATTAATTAAAAATAATGCTGGAAAACAAATCCTGTGTGACTATAACCCATGACTGCGGGTTAGTAATCAGCTTGTTATAAAAGGTTCTGTCATCCTACATTTAACTACTAAAAGCTTATTGCTGACTGTACAGTCTTATCAAATATGATCATATGATTCTTAATCAGACTGATGCCTGGTGTTCAGTCTGTGGTCAGACAATACACACATGCTGAATATTCAAGAGAAACTGGACTTGAACCACTGTTTTTCTGTAAGGAACCTTTAATTCAGTGCCATGTCTTTCATTTTTGTTGTAAACATGGCAGTGATTAACTCCACATTAATGGTATGATTCTTCTGTGAATGACTGTGAGCAGCCCAAAGCAAACCAATCTCCTGGAACAAATAACTCACAGCGTAATACTTCGTCATTATCACAGGCTATATTACTTTGAACATCTTACTCCTATAAAATGTATCATCTGTATTTTATTCAGGGTTTGCTGGGTCCCCCAGGAATACAGGGACCATCTGGGCGTCCAGGACCTGCAGGTTTACCGGTATAGTTTGTATTTCTAAAATGAGTATAGATTATATATAACACATACAGTATATATTAATATGTCAAAGAAAGCATAACATGGACTATATTATAGATCCCCTTCAACCCCTAAACATAGTGGGGCTGATTTACCAAATGAGTAGAAGCTATTCACTTTGAGTGAATGTTAGTGAATAAGGCAAAGCTGTGCACTTTGAATACCCAAACATGTACAAGGGAAATGACAAAATATGATTTCTCTCCAGCACATGATTGGGTATTGAAAGTGAAAACAGCTTCACGGTACTCACTAACTTACACTTTTGCAAAGTGAATAGCATGTACTGATTTAGTGAATCCACCCCACTGTCTACATAAATGTTGACCAATAGTTTTTTCCAGCCACAATTTTGTGATGTAAGGAAGACTGACATTTAATAAATATATTTTAAAAAGGGCTCCTACCCAAGTGTCTTACACTGTTGGGGAAATAACGTTCACATTGCTGTGTGAATAACCTCTACTCTTTTAGAAAATCAACCTCAATGCGTAGCCAGCTTGAGACTCTAGTGTGTTCTGTCAGTCACAACGGTATTTTACTCAGGTACCTTTGTATTTTTTCTATTATATGTTAATATGGAATAACCTAGTAATACCTGTATGCATACTGTCAAAGTCTGCCCTTATAAAGAGTGTACTAATATAATTGGTCAGTGTTATAACATGAATAAGCTAATACACTAATGGGGCTATTCACTAAGCTGCCGAAGGCAGCCGAGTGAAAAACCGAACCGAAGTGAAGTGAGCCGAACGCCGTTCGCTGAGCCGAAGTGAAGAAGCTGTTCGACTCCAATCCAAACCTCTGGATCAGTTCACTCGCTGCCATTCGCCCCTATTCAACCCTCCGAGGTAGCAAGCAAAACTAAAAGAAATGTGAACAAATGAAAAAAAAAAATGCCCTTGGCACTGGTAGGGTGCTTTTCCAGGGGCTTATTTACATCTGGGTACCTGTTTAATCAGGGGGCACCCAGATGCTGCCCCCCCTCCTTGTGAATAGGTAAGGAATACTTGTACCCCTACTCATTTACGAAAGGGTTAACAGTACAGTGAAAATAAACACACCAGACATTTGAAAAAAATCCTTTAATTGAAAAAAAACCCAATAAAAATGCTTGGCAATTCCTTTATTATTAAAAAAAAATCCCCAAAATTGATCCAACAACGTAATCCAGGGCCAATCACGACGTCCAGCGTTGTGCACGTCAAAATAAATAAACCTGATACTTGCCGACCCAACTGCACGCGACGAACTCCCCCCGCAGAATGAAGAATCGGACAGATGCCGCAAAATATAAACAATTGGGCAGAGATAGCAGTGACATCACCACTAGCTCCACCCAACTGTTTACACTTGTCTGGCACCTGCCAGTCTTCCCACAGGTCCCGGCCAAATGAAAACAACAGGGCGGAGCCAGCCGCCAAGTTGTTGTCATTCAATGACAGCCAAGAATCCTCAGGTGATTTGAGGACACTGGGCTGCCACTGAATGACAACAACTGGGCAGCTGGCTCCACCCAGTCGTCATTTATTAACAGCCCAGTGTGCTCAAATGAGCTGAGGAAGCTGGTCTCTCATGGAATGACAACAACTGTACAGGCTATTGTGAATAGCTCCAGCGGCCAAAGTGAGTTTAAGGTTCAGCCGAAGCTACGGAGAGATCCTTTGGCTCCTTTGTGAATAACCCTCTAAAAGTTGCCATTAGACACATTCTTGGATCAATGACTGTTCCTGTTTATTGCGATGTGACACTTTTTTTTTTTTTTCAGGGACCACCAGGAACACCTGGAATTCCAGGACCGAAGGTGAATTCAGTCATACTACATCCTAAATTGAATCTTCTTCACATGTTGTTGCATATCAGTAACTTTTTATATTTTATGTAACTTTCTTAGGGTAACATGGGCTTAAATTTCCAAGGATCTAAAGGAGAAAAGGTATTTTGTCTGGACCTATCTTAACTTTTTTCATTCTAATTGTTATTTACATGGAATGACAATTTGATTTTCAATGTAATAATCTTTACTGAAAAATGGCCTGGCCAGGAAGGGGGTCTAAACACCTGGTCTTGAAGTGGTTAATGTAGGCTGACCTCAGTTCTAGCTTTCTGGTCAACATAAAGACATTCTTCTTTTTCTTTTTTTTTCAAAATTCAAGTTTAACAACCTATGTTTTTATTTTAGGGTGATCCAGGCCTACAGGGACCACCTGGACCTCCAGGACAATCAACAGAGCAGAAGGAACCAGGGGACAGTCAAGTCCAGAAAGGGGAAAAGGTATCTGATGTTGCATACTTATACACTATTTAGTGTTTTAAAGTTAATGCTTACCTTTCTATACTGATAATATGGATGTTGTGAGAAATCAATTTCAGAGGCAACATTTTAATACCAGATGTCCAGCTCATGTGGAATCCGGCTGTTAGTCCATTCCATAAATATAGGCAAGCACTTGTCTTACAACAAACCCATCACAAGCCTGGCTTATTAATACTAAACATGGTAAAATAGCATTAGCAGAGGAGATCTTCAGTGAAAAATTCATGTCAAAATGATAGGTAGATGTAGGTATCAGTCCTTGAAGTTATATGCAAATTTGTGATGCAAGACTTGCCTTTCTGTGGAAAGTTGCAATAAAAATATAATGACAGCAGTTTTCACTGAAGGTAGATTAGGTTATTAGGTTTACTCTGCCATGCACTGTATGCATGTTAAGACCAGTGACGTTTATGCTATTTTCCAGCTTTTATTATAAATTCTTAGCAGGCTTTAGCAGAAGGAATGTCACGACATACAGGTCTATTCACTAAAGGGTGAAGAGTTTGGAGAAGGCAGGAGAAGTGAACAATCTAGGACAAAAGAGCCAATTTGGAAACATTCTCCAATTCAGCTCACTTTCCAGTGCAGCTATGTTGTCCTAGATCAGTGAGATTGTTCCCTTCTCCTGCCTTATCCAAACTCTTCACCCTTTCGTGAATAGTGTCCATGTCTGTAGAACATTTTACAAGCAACTTGTATTATCTAAAACTTTCAGGGGCTTTTAGATACTAGAGTTAAAATTATCATCCTGAAGGGAGTTATCATCCTGAAGAGAGATTGTTCTTTCCTGCATACAGCTGACGTCCCATTAGTTATTTGTTTAAAGAGCATTTTGGACAGACTCTAGTATCATTTTACCTAGAAAAAGGTTTGTATAGAACTCCGGGTGGGCAGCACCACGCTCCTGGTAAGTCAATAGTAAAAATAATCTATATTTTAAATGGTTTTTTTTAGGTGCTTAGTGCAGAGCCAAAAATAATTACAAGATGAACAAGAAATCAACAAAATATTATTGTAATAAATGTTAACACCATGAATGCTTTCCTTAAACTGTTGCCGTCCGCCCAGTTGTGAAAAAACGGACGGACGGCACGGTCGCATTGGTGGGTTGCCGTCTCCAGGCGGCTTTTTTTTCTGCTTGAGCGCACCCCCTAGCGCGCGCACGGCCAGAGAAAACCGGCCGTTCTTTACAGCCGTTACCGGCTGTTTCACATACATATGATCGGCGGCTCTATAGCCTGCCGATTGTATGTGTGGGCTGTCTGGGTGCGCCCCCGCCCCTTCCCCGCTAGAATTCGCTGCTGCCGCCCCCCCTCCTGACTCCTCACCTTCAATCCCGGGATCCGCTGCCCCATCTGCGGCCCGGGACCGGCTCGGGAGGGCGTCAGGAGGTACGATGGGAGGGAGGTCAGCATCTTTTTACTTGCTGACCTCCCTCCGTGCTGTGAATGCGGAAGTAATGTGTATTACATCACTTCCGCATTCACCTGTCAGTCATCTGGCTGCTATAGACAGAGAGAAGAAGCTGATGAAGCAGATCTGTGCTTCATCAGCTTCTTTTGTGGTCCCCAGGTGACATTAGGGGTCTTAGAGACCCCTAATGTCTCCATAAAGAGGACCTGTCAGTGTGCCTTTGCTATTATATAGGGGGATTGTTATCCTATGTAATAGCAATAAAAATAAGTGTAAAAAAAGTATAAAAAAATAAAAGTCACATATAAAAAAAAGTAGAAACCCCCCCCCCAAACATTTTTAAGTCCCCCACCACCACGTTTACGCACATATAAACGTAAATA